AAAAACCAACTCAAACTCACTGGTATCAAACTCAATTTTTGTCGTGATTACACATTGGGCTGACAACTGCAAGGTCGACAGTTTGAAGCCACCAGTAAATCTATGGGATAAAGATACAACTTTCTAAACCTGTAAAGTGTTACAGTCTCAGAAACCTTGTCCTATAGGGTCACCATGATGTAAGACTACAGGGGCAAATAATTCCCCTTGATTGCCCATAACATTTTAGAAAGACAGCTATAAAAAATGGGTTCAGAGTGCCATGTGACTAAATGTGCTAATAAGTTGTCCTTAAAATTTGGTTTATGTTAATGTATATTCTTAGTGGTTTCATAAATTATGAGGGTGCTTCGATTTATCACTGTGACTTCTAAATATCAATTTGTTTCCTTACCTTGTTTAGATAACAAAAAAGTCTTCACACTGAAGTGGGGTGAAGTTGCCTTGATAGGCAACTGCTCTAAATTTTACCCAGGTCGCTACTTTGAAAAACAAATGACGTGTGCAGGTAAGTAGAGCACTGTTGTTCTGCAAGCTATCTAGCCACTAGCAAATGTCCCCGTCCTCCCCACTGCCTCAGAGCCCTGCTCGTGGACCCTTCTGTTTATTGCATCATCGAACTCTGCCAGTCCCTTGTGTCCTGCTCCAGCGCCCTCATTCTCATTCCCGCCAGTCCGAAAACCTTTCTCCCGCTGCTCGGTAGCCTTGCAGGAAGGCCAGGGAGGGCACAGATTTGGGAACCAGACTGCCCGGGTTAATACACCCGTTTTCAGCAACGAGTGGGCTAGTGACCCTCGCAAGTTTCCTTTCCCACAACGTTGGAGATTTCAAGAAGCAAAGGCTCTGAGCTTCAGACCAAATTATGTAATTTGCCCTATTTTATTGACAGAAAGTGGTTCAAAATCAAAATTTTTACATTAAAAAAAAAAAGATCTCATCTCAAATGCTTCCAGGTGGAAGAAAGTTCATCTCCTTGGAAATCCTATTGGATCTCTCAGGATTCCTGAAGTTTCTTTTATATAATAGTAATGCTAATGCTGAGGAGACCTGGTGGTATAGTGGTTACTCACTGGGCTGCTAACCACAAGGTCAGCAGTTTGAAACCACAAGCTCTCTTGGAGGGAGAAAGATGAGAACTCTATGAAGAGTTAAGCCTCAGAACCCATAGGAGCAGCTCTACCCTGTCCTACAGGGCTGCTCTGAGTTGGCATTGACCTGATGGCAGCTGAGTTTTGCTTTTTGGAATGTCTTGGTAGTGTAGTGGTTATGTGTTGGGCTAGGATCTACATGGTCAACAGCTCAAGACCACTAGCAGCTCCCAGAAGAAAGATTGGACTTTCTACTCCCATAAACAGTTACATTCTCAGAAAGCCAATAAGGGGTCACTATGAGTCATCATTGACTCCATGGCAGTGAGTGAATGACACTAGCAGACCTATAGCAGTTCCTACTTTGGGTGTGACCCGATGGAAGGGTAGCAAACAGTGGGAGTGGTGCAGGTAGGATGCTCGCTTGACAGTTCTAAGTAGTGTGTCTCGAAGATGGCAGTATTGCCATCCTGACACTAGTTGCAGTTGGAGATTGTTTAATGAGGTAAGAGCCTTGGAAAGCCATAGGATTAAGAAGAAAGTCAACAGACCCCTCCTTAAACCCTCGCCATCTTGAAAGGGAGATCAGATTACAGTAGATCGGAGGGGCCATGACACAAAATCTTCAGGAGGCACTATTACAATTCTTAGGCTCTACCTTGTATTAGCCGTGTGACCTTGGGCAAGTTAGTTGACCTCTCTGTGCCTTATGAACAACTAATACATATTTGGTACTAAAAAATTCACTGCAACCCTATAGGACAGGGTAGAACTGCCCATGAGTTCCTGAGACTGTAACTGGTCATGGGAGTAGAAGGCCCTGTCTTTCTCCTGTGGAGCAGCTGGTGGTTTTGAACTGCTAACCTTTCAGATCAAAGCCCAATGCATAACCACTATGCCACCAGGCTCCTTAAGTACTCAATGGTCATGAGGTGTACTTAATATTTTCCCAGGCAGTTTTTGCTGCTGCTTTCAAATTGTTGCATCACAGTAACCATTGCACAGTAGAGGGTTGGAGAGAGCACTTGCTAAACTTGGGGAATAATTAAAAGACTGATCAAGTACCCCCTAAGATGTATCTCTCCAACTTCTGGCTCTAGCTGGGGCCCAGCTGACGTAGCACATGCTACTTCCCTGTCAAGAAAGCTGATGTTATTCTACAATGGCCTGGCATTCTTGCTAAATGGAAGAAAGCATATGATTTTCTCTTTCTCTTTTCTTTCTCAGGTACAAGTGACGGCTCCATTGATGCCTGTAAGGGGGATTCTGGAGGCCCCTTAGTCTGTATGGATGTTAACAATGTGACCTATGTTTGGGGGGTTGTCAGTTGGGGTGAAAACTGTGGGAAACCAGAGTTCCCAGGAGTTTACACTAAAGTGGCCCATTATTTTGATTGGATTAGCAATCATGTGGGAAGGTCTCTTATTTCTCAGCACAATGTATAACACTGCTCTCCCTCTTCTATCGGCCCTTCCTTGGCCAGGAGTTCTGTTTTAAGTGAAATGAAAACAATGTATGATTAATACTTCTCTAGGAAACAATTCAGTAAGTTTTATAGAATTTTTAAAAATCATTTTATTGGGGCTCATACAATTATAGGATATTTTTAAAGGTTTCTACAAAGGAACCTTGTATAATCTTCAAATAAACATTGTATTCAAGCATACATCTTAATAGAAAATTTGAACAAATTTTCTTTGGAGAAGAGTAAGGTACGATCTATATTACAGCTTTCATTATTGGGTGTTGGTGGGTTGATCCCAGTGTGTAGTGACCTCATAACAACAACAATAGAGCTGAGGGACGCTGGAGTCAGGTAAGGCCGGGTTCCAATCTACCACCTGTTTGATCTAGGGTAGGCCCTTCATGTCTTATTTTCCATCTATAGAATGGAAACTGGGTTTTGTGTGAATGAAACAATGTAAGATTGTTCAGCATAGTTCCTGTCATCGGGTAACAGCCAATCTCACAACTCTGGACCCATTTCTGCACTTCCTTAAGTAACAATTGTTTTTGAAAAGTTTGTCTTCATGTCCCTCTTTCACAAATTCTCCTTGACCTTCTTTCTAAACTCCCCAAAACTACACCATGGCCATTGACCTCACAGCCATTGACCTGCCCTCCCCTCCTCGGCCAAGAGAGAAAGATGAGGCCTGGTGCTCCCATAAAGAGTTGCAGAAACCCACAGGGAACATTCTACTCTGTCCTGTAGGGTCGCCGGGAGGCAGCAAGTGGCGGTGAGTAAGTGCATCTCCGCTGACCCCAGCAGCATTAGACACTGAGGATGGCTCACAGCACCACACTCTGGCCTTGCCTGGGCCTCCCTGGCTACTCACCTCAGCCTCCTCCATAGCCTCTACCTCCTGGTTGGTTCTCTCACTTTGCTCTCGCCCTGGTGGCCTCCACCAGTCTGGTTTTAAATGCCATCCAGAGGTAAATAGCTGGCAAGGGGCTGTGGGTGGTGCACATGACTAACCAAAAAAATGACAGTTGGAACATGCCCAGAAGTGCCTCAGAAGACAGGCCTGGCAACGTGCTTCCAGAAGGCCACAGCTTGGAAACCCTCTGGCGAGGGTTTCTACTCTGCACACCTGGGGGGATGAGTCGGAACCCACTGGTCGGCAACTGGGTTTTGTCCTTTCTGGATTTAAAGGACAATGACTTGTGAATTCACCCAGGAATAGATTTCACACAGACCTGTCCTTCGTTATGGCTTCTCAGTCCAGTTTGGGGTACGGTTTAGTTGTTTGAAGACTATCAACATCCATTTCTACATCCTGTTCTAAAATTAATTGCTGCTCAGAATTTTAATACCTCATTGAATCTGGGAGAGAAAGTATTCAGTTTCATGCTGCTGTATAAGAAAACAGAAACCCAGACCCAATGTCATCGAGCCCATTCAACTCAGCTACTAACCTAACGATCAGTGGTTTGAACAAGGTCTATCATTCTACTCGAGTCAAGGTCTCAGCCAAGAAGAGTCTATGGAGTGTTCTGTTCAGTATTTCATAGGGGCACCACGAGCTAAGAAAGAATCCCAACACAGTGGTCCGCCTAACGACAGTCTATTATTTTCCTCATGAATCTGGGGGTTGACTGAACTGCTGCCGTCTCAAGCTAGCCTCTCTGCAGTTGCAGACACACAAGTCTGGGGCGGGGGTCCTCTCCGAGAGTTCTTCACCCACGTCCGGTACCTGGGCTGGGAAGACTCAAAGAGCAGCTCTCTATGGGGACTCTGCATCTGTGCTCGCCGTATGGAGGACCCAAGGTCACCTGACTTCATACATCGCAAATGCTGGGTGTTCAAAGGGAACTCATAGATCTTACACAGCCTTTTCTAACCTACCTTCAGAAGTCACAGAGTATTGTTTTTGTCACAAAGACCTGCCTAATTTCAAGAGAATGGGGCATAATCTTCCTCTTCATGGGAGGGTGTCTTATTTACCTGGTGTGGCTATAACTAACAACAATGCATTTATTCTCTCACTGTTTAGACTGCAAATATGAATTTAGGGTGCCAGCTCTAGGGAAAGGGTTGTCTCTCCTTCAATTCTGAGGGATGGTCTTTGTCTCCTTTTAACATCTGTGGGGACAGCATCCCTGGAGCTCTCCATTTGTCTTGGCATCCACCTTCCCCTTTGTCTAGGAGGTCCTCGGCTCAGGGACCTTTGATCCAAGACACACTGTACTCCAAGCTCTCTTTTCTTGGTAGCAATCAGATTCCTCTCTTTTTGTTTCTCTTCCTTTTAGCTCTTGTGAGATACAAGCTGACAGAGAACACCACCACTGAAACTCCCCTTACGTAGAAGCAGGACTGTGACCTAAATTAGGATCCCACCTGTGTTAGACTGGGTTGACTAGAGAAACAAATTCATTGACACTCATATGTGTAAGAGAGAACTTTATATCAAGAAGTAGTTATGCATCAATAAAACATCCTAGTCCAGATCAAGTCCATAAGTTCTGTATTCAGCCATATGTCCGATAATAGGCCATGAAATTCTTCTTCGGATTTATGCAGCACATACAATGATGCCAAATGCAGGACGATCACAGGTTGGTGAGTGGAAAGTCCTGTGGATCCAATGGCAATGGACACATCTGCAGGGCTTTGGCTACCATCAGTGTGGCTCCACATGGCTTGTCAACAGGAAGGTGTAGCAGAGAGTGAGAGGGTAGACCATCTCTTCTGGTGGCAGAATCAGGAGTGAGGGCCATGCCCACAAGGAGGGATCAGTCACTAGGCTGTGACCTGATTGACAGGCTAGACTCCACCCCTTCATTCTTTTCTCAAGTTGACATGAAATTGTGGAACTACTAAACTACCCTAATCCCCTTACAACTCATTGGCTGTTTATCCTACGTGATATCATGGAGGATTATCACATCATTATATAAAAATCAAATTACACCATTACAGAGATGCCAGTCCACCAAGGACCATGCCCCAGCCAAGTTGATGCATTTTGGGGGAACACAATTAGATTTATGACAACCTACCATTTTCCTCTGTCCCAAAATTCATATCCTCGCCACATGCAAAACACTATCACCCCATCATATGATCCCAAAGTCTCTGAACTCAATCCCAAGTTGAAACTCCAACCTGGGGCAAAATTCTTCCTTCATCTGCAAATATGGACATGACCTGCTTCTAAAGTACAAGGGTGGAACAAGGTAGACATTTCCATTACCAATGAGAGAAATGGGAGAGAAAGAAGAGATAACAGGCACCCAGCAAGTGAAAAATCCAGCAGGAAAATCTACATTCGCTCTCAAGACTTGAAAAGAATCCTCTGTTCTCTGAAAGCCTCCAAGTAGCGGTCTTGTCCTCCAGACTCTGGGTGGTGGCCATCCTCTCTAGATTCTGAGTAGAGGCTTCTCAGCACTGCCTTCACTTCTACCTTCTAGGCCCACTGGGCTGGCAACTCCACCCCCTTGGCTTGGGTGGCCCCATTCTCCTAGTCCTGCGGAATGTGAACCCAACAGTCTCCATTCTTCAGCTTCTTGAGCATAACAGCCCATTCCCTTAGCTTTGGACAGTGGCTCTGGCCCAATCCACCTGCAACGCATGATGGCAATCCCATGACCAGAAGCAGGGTGCAGAAAATCTGACCTAGGAGACTATGATTCCATCCTTTAAGATCTTAAAGGTCACAGCCCTACTTTGTATGCTCCTCGTTTCTACATCCGGGTTCCTGGACCCTTAACCCTCAGGCCTCTCTGCCCTGCTTGGGTAAGTGTTACAAAGTTCTATGGCTCTACCAGTAAGTGTGTGTAGGCACTTCATGTCTTGACTTGAAGGCACTCAGGTCTCTTACTCTGTGTACTCTTCTGCTGCTCCCCTGCCTTTCTCCGCTGTTGCTTCTCACTGTCCGCAGTGTCTCTGGTGTTACAGCCTCCGCACTTCCATCTGGGCCCTCACCAGAATTGCCTTTGGCATCCATACTATGCCACCAACAGTCTCTTCAAGATCATCTAGGCTGTACTATCAGGGGCCCTGAAACTAGCTCCTGCTCATTACCCAATTCCCAAACTGCTTCCCCTGGTTAGGTTTTATCTGTTAGAGCAGGATCCCACTCTTCAGGTACCAAATGTGTCTCAGTTCTCTCATGCTGCTATAACAGAAATGCTATACGTGGGTGGCTTTAACAAACAGAGGCCGATGCCCTCGCCGTTTAGGAGGCTAGAAGCCCCAAAATTAGGTTGCTAGCACTAGGGGAAGGCTTTTATCTTGGTCAGTTCTAGGGTGGGCAGCTCCTTTTCTCATTTCAGCATCCATGGGCCCAGCCAGCATCCCTTGAAGATCCCATGCATTTTGGCATCAATCTTCATATTAGTCTAGGAGGTTCTCAGAGCAGAGACCCCAGGTCTCTTAGCATTGCCTAAGATTCCAATTTAATCCAATAAACCTTGTCTTTGCACCTCATTAGTACTGCTCTGTGCTGATGTCCGTGCAAGTTGAAGAGTCTGTGAGGGATACCTGATAGACTGGGAAGCTCTGCACAGAAAACACAAACCATCCTTGGCTATCCAGATCCCATTTCAAGGCATTTACATCACTTAGACAAGAACTCCAAGGACAGGCTCATAGTCCTTTGACAGTATTGATTATAATTGATTGCTATATTCCCTTTTCTTTCCTCTATGATTGTGTTTTGCCCTTTAATACTGCACCAAAATGTCTGTTGCTAAATCCAGTGGGTAATATCTAGTCCAGGTCTTCATCCACATCAGCAGAATTGATGGTTGTCTCTCTCTCTGGTTCACTGGGTTAGTACTCTCTTAGTTCACCTCCTGCTCTGGCCACGGCCTACTCAACAGGACAACTCACTGCCATCAAGTCCATTGACACATACCCTGTTTCCCCGAAAATAAGACAGTGTCTTATATTAATTTTTGCTCCCAAAGATGCGCTAGGTCTTATTTTCTGGGGATGTCTTTTTTTTTCAATGAAGAAGAATACGGTACACATTTATAGTTTTATTAAAAGAGACCTTGCATTTCCTGTCTGCTCTGGCAGCACTGCGGCCAACAGTGAGCTGCACGGCGGTGCCCACTGCTAAGGTCCAGAGTCCAGAATTATGGTAGCTCCAGGGGGCCTTATTTTCGGGGGGGATGCCTTATATTTCAGCAAGAGGCAAAACTGTAAGTAGGTCTTATTTTCGGGGGATGTCTTTCTTTCGGGGAAACACGGTAGCTATCCTATAGGGAAGAGTAGAAGTGTCCTGTGGGTTTCTGAGACTAAATCTTCATGAGAGTTCAAATCCTTAACTTTCTCTCTTGGAGCAGCTGGTGATTTCAAACTGGTGACCTTGCATTAGCAGCATAACACACTGTGCCACCTTTAAAAACAACAGTAAAAGCCAATGCCATTGAGTCTGTGGGGACTCACCGTGACCCTGTAGGGCAGAGTAGAAATGATCCTTTGAGTTTCCAATACTCAAAGGCACAGGATGGACTCCTCTGTCTGGTGGAGTAGCTGGTAGGTTTGACCTATCCATTTCACTGTTAGTAGTCAAGTGCCTAACCCACAATGCCACTCACTCACTGCAATCAAGTCGAATCAGACTCATATGGCGCCTAAACGGCAGGGTAGGCCTGTCTCTGTGGGTTTCCAGGTATACAGGAGTAGAAATCCCATCTTTCTCCTGTGGAGCCACTGGTGGTTGCAAACTGCTAACTGTGCAGATCACAGCCCAGCTAACCACTATGTCACCAGTGCTCCTGTCAGCGACCCTACTGGGCACCTTAAAAAAAAGTGTTCTAAATGTGAACTGTCTTATAGGGAAATGGCTGACCTAGAATTAAGCTCACCATAATGATGTAATTTTTATAGTCTGTAACGCACACTTATTAAACTCATGAAGCTTGTGGCAAGCACAACAGGATAAGCCAGTATTTGTTGGTAATTCTTATTACAGGAAGGACACACTTATTCTTAATACTTGCAACATTGGCCTGGATCCTACTGGATAAAATTCATAAATGCTGCTAGTATGCCAAGGTAACTGGATATTTATAACTGGTAAAAATGACTGCAATGTTATTTAAGGATCCTGCACACTGCTGGGGAAAATTACACAGAAGGTCCTTGGCTTTATCAAATTACAAAATCCTTGCATCGGGAAACAGATGTGCATTCAAATACCGAGGAAGGCTTCTTTCCAGGCAAGAAAGAAAACTTGGGGTTTTGACTCTCCACCCGTTTTCTTCTCCCAGAAAGTCCAAAGAGCATCTCGCTCAGCCTCAGCATAACCCCTTGCAGTGTTCTCTTCAAGAACCTCCAAGAGCTCAAGTCTCAGAGGTTGCTCAACGCTTGCGACCTTCTCCCCGAAGGTGACAGGGCATATGTTTTTCACCTTGACTGCACGGTACCGAGGAGCTGATACCAAGGGCTCAAGTAGAAAGCAGATGTATAAATGTACTTCACACCCATGGATGGATGGATGGGTTGTGATGAGTTGTGCGAGCCCCCAATAAAATGATTTAAAAATATACTGATGCCCAGTGCCACCCCCAACCAGACTCTTTGGGGAAATGGCTGCAATGTTTAAATAGCCACGTTCTTAAAAGGCCCAGGGATGATTCTAAAAGCCTAGGGCACAAGGCGTGCGCGCCGCGGCGACCACGTGACGCAGGAGGCACCGCCTCCGACGTACGACGCCTCTGCGCACGCGCGCTCGGGCGGCCGCCGGCCCAGGTGCGGCGTCCGGGCGCGCTTCTCGCAGACTGCACCGCCTCCTGCGGCCGTGCATCGGAGGCGTCGGCGGCTCCCGGAGCGCACCTGCGGGCCGGGAAGGAGGCGTGGGTATGGAGCCGGCGGTGGCCGCCTAGGGCGCCCCGGGGTCTCCATGGGGCCGGACGCCGAGTGGATGGTCCGGCTGCCGCGCTCCGCGCTCGCCCTCGTTGTCCTCCTCCTGGCCGTCTCGCTCTGGGGCCAGGAGGAGGCTCCGTCCACCGACTGGAGGGCCACGCTGAAGACCATCCGGAACGGCGTGCACAAGATAGACACGTACCTGAACGCCGCCTTGGACCTGCTGGGCGGCGAGGACGGCCTCTGCCAGTACAAGTGCAGTGACGGTGAGCCCTGGGCCCGCGGGGGGAGTGGGGCGAGCGAGGGCACCGAGGCGTCCGAGCGACGGTGCCAGGTAGAAGCTTCCCGTGTTGGGAGGGATGGAGCAATTCGGTTACAGATTCACACCGTTGCTATAGAACGTGGGAAGGTTGCTGTGCGCGCGCGCTCCGGCCGGTTTTCACTATTGTTGCTAAATGACCTTTTTATCCCTTCTGCAATTGCATGAAGTTGCCCAAGAACTTGGTAACGAATGAATCTTCGCGGAGTGGAACTAGCTGTGATTTCCCCCCACCCCACCCCCGCCCGTTCTTTCGTAGAATGTCTATCAATTAGGCGATCGAACATGCAAAAAAGCAGTTTCGTTTACTCGGGAATTGAAAAATGGTTTTAAAATGTTTTCATTGCAAAGCTCCAGATTACTGTAACCTGAGACCTTTATACAGACTCCTGGTGCCATCAATTGTTGAGAAAGTTACAACTTAGAAAAGCGCTTCTCAGATTTGAAAAAGGCTTTGTTCTTTCCTTTGGTCTCCCCTTCCTCCTTGTAAGTTCACGATGTTCTTTGACGATTTTCCCCCTTTTTAAGTATTCGTTCTGTTTGAATCCCAGAACTTGTTTGGTTTAGGAAGAGATCACTTTGTTGAAGCACTGAATTCTTTACATGCTTAAATAGTTTAATAGTTCACATCAAGTTCCTGGGCTTCTCTTTCAAAGTCCAGAATCTTAATGTAACACTCCAGAGATCATGTTTTCTGTAAGATTAGCCCAGTCTTTGGCGCCTTTGAGTCAGTTCTTAATCACAGCAACTCTTTGTACACTGGTTCGAAACCCTGCTTGGTCCTGTGCCACACAATGTTGCTAATGTGAGCTCACTGTTACGGCCATTGTGTCAGTCCTGTATCATCATGATCCTCCTCTTTTTCCGTGGCCCTCTAGCAAGTGTGATGACCTTCCTCTAGGACTGCTCTCTCCTGATAACAGATCCAAAGTAGGTGAAACAGAGTCTTGCTTCTAAGGAATGTTCCGGCTGTACTTCTTCCAAGACAGATGTGTTTGTTCTTCTGGCAATCGGGGTATCTTCAATATTCTTCTATCCAATGCTTAATTCAAAGGCATCAGTTCTTCAGGGCTTTCTTTTCACTGTCCAGCTTTCAGATAGCATATGAAGTGATGGAAACTACCATGGCTTGTGTTGGGTATACCTTAGGACGTAAGATGAAATCTTTTGCATTTTAGCCCCATAAAGAGGTCATTTCAGCAGATTTTCTTAGTGCAGTATGGACTCTTGTTTTCTTTATTGCTGCTTCCATGGGCATTGGTTGGGGATGCAAGTCAAAAGAAGCCCTGGGAAATGTTGGTATCATGCTGTTGCTTAGGGTCCAGGTGTAAGGATTTTTGTCTTCTTGATTTCAAGGTGTAATTCATACTGAGGGCTGTAGTTTTTGTAAGTGTGTCAAGCCCTCTTCAGTTACAGCAAGTAAGGTTGTCGGCAAATCCCAGGTTAATGGATCATCCTCCAATCTTGATGCTGTGGTCTTCTTCATATAGTCCGGTTTCTGTGATTATTTGCTCAGCATGCAGGTATGGGTGGTGAAAGATTCACATTTTTCCTGATATTAAACTATGTAGTATCCCCTTGTTCTATTCAAACAACTGCCAATTAGGCTATGCATAGTTTACACTTGAGTACAATTAAGTGTCCTGAAATTGCCATTCTTTACAATATTATGCATAATTTGTCATGATCTACATAGTTGAATGCCTTCGCATAATTAATAAAATGCAAGTAAACAAATATCTGGTGTTTTTTCTTTCAGCCTAGATCTGTCTTATATCAGCAATGATATCCTCTCCTTTTCTAAATCTGGCTTGGATATTGGACATCATCTTATAAACTGTCAGATCTTCAATTGTTAGTGATAGTGTGTCAAATCTGTTCTTTGAGATGGTCTCTTAGTTCAGGTGGAATATTCTCAAGGTCATACTTTGGCTGTCTCATTGACTTGTTTTCTTCTGCTTCATCTTGAACTTGCATGTGAGTAATTAATTGATCATCTGTTCCACAGTGGCCCCTGGCCTGGTTCTGACTAACGATACTGAGTTTCTCCATTAACTCTTTCCACAGATGTAGATGGTTTGAAAAAGAGGCCTGCTGGCATAGTGGTTATGCATTGGGCTGCAATCCGCATGGTCGGAAGTTCAAAACCTCAGGAGAAAAACTGGGTTTTCTACTCCCATGAACAGTTACAGTCTTGAAAACCCACGGGGTGGGGTGGGGGGAGGATGTCACTGAGTTAGTTTTGACTCAATGGCAGTGAGAGTGAGATGGCAGACTGTGGTACTTTCAATATCCCTATCCAGCATGATAATTCAAATATATAATTTCTTCTTGAGTTTTCTTGATTAATTGTTCAACTTTCACATGTATGTGAGGACAGTGTATATTCCAGAGAGAACTTATCTGCAGCCATCCACTGATCAGAACCATGTTTAAACACATTTTGTTTGGAACCTATGCAAGTAGGAACTGGAATCCTAGCTGCAGTACTTTTTGACTTACCGTCATATGTATGTGTACTTTAAACAGTAATCACATATCAGGAGGTCAGGGACTGTCACACTGGAAATCTAAGAAAAGCCTATGAGTTAGGATAAAACACAGAATTCAACCAAACCAGACTCACTGCCATCAAGTTGATTCTGACTCATAGCAACTCTATAAGACAGGGTAGAACTGCCCATGGGTTTCCGTGACTGTAACTCTTTACAGGTGTAGAAAGCCCCGGCTTCCCCCGAGGAGCAGCGGTGGTTCTAAATTGTTGACCTTGAGGAGCAGCTGGTGGTTCTAAATTGTTGACCTTGAAGACTGCAGTCCATGCATAACCATTATGCCACCAGAGCACATGGGAGGAAGGACACGGTGTCCAAAACATAGGACATGTAACAAACATCTTATTTGCACTTTCAAATAATATGCCCAGTCAGTTGTTTGTTTTTCCATCTCAGATACTTTTTAGGTGACTTCTAAATTGTCCCATTGTTGCCTGAAGAAAGAATAGATTCTTTTCTGCTTAACAGACGTTTGGACACTTCATGGCATATTCATTGTACTTTTCCAAATTAGCCATTAGACGTGTGGCATAATGTCCATTTCTAGACGAGTTTGTAAACAAGTTAAGCTATAGATTGGTAAGACCCCTGATAAAGAGACCTTTGTGATAAAGCTTTGGGAACCAGAACCTAATGCTGTTCTAGCTTTACTGCCTTTCTGGAAAGAGATTTCTAGTTTGGGAGGACAAAGTAAAACTGTATATAAAATGTATACTTTGTCATGATGCTCCTATGAAAAATGTGGGCTAAGTAAACCTGCTTAGGTGAAGTAGTCTACCTAAGGGTTGGATTATGGCTTCAGGGCTGCCGGTAGCGAGGACTAGTCTGTAGCCGGATATCACAGCCTGCCTCTGACCTGGTCACTGTCTGCACCTGACATTTGTCTCTGGAGCCCTGTACCCCCGGGGGAATTGCTTTAGAATTTAACCCTGCTGAACAGTGCTGAATGATGAACTAAATTTAGTAAGGTAGAAATTTACGATCTACTATGGAGGTCCAAAAGATAAGTTGTAGAAGTGCTGCGCCTCTGCTCCAGTGGTTCTCAACCTTGCGAATACCACGACCCTTTAATACCATTCCTCATGTTGTGGGGACCCCTACCATGACATTATTCTCATTGCTACTTCATAATTTTGCACCTGTTATGAATCATAATGTAAATATCTGATATGCAGGATGTATTTTCATTATTACAAATTGAACATAATTAAATCATAGTGATTAATCACAAAACAATATGTAATTATATATTGTGAAATATTTATGTATGTTCCCATGGTCTTAGACAGCACCTGTGAAAAGGTCATTCAACCCCCACAGGGGGTGGAGACCCAGCGATTGAGAACCACTGCTCTAGTAGTAGATATTTAAATTTGTAAAGACCCGATTGCTTTTGACTGCCATCTGATCTGAGCTACGTTAGCAGAGGGACACAGCGGAAACATGCTTACTATCTAAGCTATATCAACACAAGGACTTTATCCAGCTCAAAAAAGGCAGAGCCAGCCATCCCTGTGGTGCTAGTTTGGGGTGCCAGATTTGAAGGAGATGTGACAGACTAGAAATGGTCAGTCTGTGAAGGGTGACAGTCATCAAACTCGGAAGACACCGAGGGACAAACAACAGCATCAACTTCGTAATTTGTAACGAGTCCTTTAACTGCTGTAGGGATTACCCTTCCAAGTTTTTGCTCATTATTCGTCCATGTGTGCATTCATCCGTCAACAAATATTTATTAAGACTAACCATATGCTAGGCACTGTTTTAGGCCCTGTTTTAGGCCAAAAGAGACAAAAGTCCTGCCCTCCAAGAGTTTACATTGTAGTCTTTGGACACTGTATCTGTAGACAGATAACAAATGAAATCAGTAGGTTAATGACACATATGATGAAGTGAAAGTGCTTAAATGTGGCTCTTTTATCCATGTCTTTGTAACACCCGTGAGATAGTTGGATGAGACGAGGAAAGAGGGTGTGTGAAATACTGATAGAGGGATTGGTCAGTTGGATGAGACGAGGAAAGAGGGTGTGTGAAATACTGATAGAGGGATTGGTCAGTTTTGTCATTCATGTGGGTATAAGAGAGCTGTCTCACAAATAGGAACATGGAATCCTGTGCCCATCCAGAAAGGAGAGCCACCAGGCACAGGAGAGATCCCTGCCCGAAGTGGCAGAGGAACCAGAGGCTGTGCCGCGCTGAGACCATGGGACAGCAGAGGAGCCATTTGAGACCAGGAGGCAGAGCAGAGTAGCAGTGCCAAGATTGTGAGGCAGAGCGACAGGCTTGCCAGCCCACAGAACATGGCAGTGACCAAGTAACCACCGGGCTGAGTGGCTGAGGCGTCTGCCTTCACCGATTAAGGGCCCAGAAATAGCTCTCCTTACTCTTGGACAGT